AACAACATGTTTTGCGCACAAAAATCAAAGAGTTTTTTTTTAACCATTAAATTTAACGGTTTTCTTGACGTAGGTAGTAAAAAAACAATTTTTAGAAATTTTTTTGTGGTAAAATACAACTTTTATTATTTTTGATAGTAAAAAACAAGTTCGTGATTTTTTTGGTGGTAAAAGTCAAAAAATCTAAATATTTTAAAAAAAATTAAAAATTACAAAAAAAAAAAAAAAAACTTCCCCTACCCTAATCCACGACAACCACCACCACAGCCGAATTTCCGACGGACTTCTCCCATCGGCCAGCGCAGACATCCCCACCCAAACCGTCGCTCCCAGCCCTCTTCCCCCGCGTGCCGGCACTCCCTTTCCGGGCATACCTTGCCCCAAAACCACCAAACCCGCCCACTGAATTAACCGCCTAAAATTCCAAAAACAACCTTGCCGTTGCGGAAAACCCCCAAACGACCCTTCCCCCACCACCGAAACCCTAGCGCTAGGGTTCCAATGGTGGGGGAAGGGTCGTTTAGGGGTTTTTGCGGTGGCGAGGTTGTTTTTTGGAATTTCTTGGGTTTTAGGGTAGGGGGTTTGGTGGTTATTGGGGATGAAGCGCTAGGATGAATGGCTTACCAGCGTGAAGGACGAGGGGAAGGAGTTATTGCCGGCGCGTGGGGTAGGGAAGAGCGAGGCTCCCGGTCGCCGCCACGGTGGTGGGGAAGGTGGTTAGTGGATGGAGGTGTTGGGTAGTTTTATTTTTTAAGTTTTATTTTTATTTTTTCATTTTTTAACTAATTTAATTTAAAAAAAATTGTAAAAAAATTAACTAATCATGTGATGCCACGTGTCCCAAAAACCTGTAATAATAGGTTAGTAACCGGTTAGGGCCTGTTTTGAGCAAATACACCATAAAGTTGGGATTATTTAATAATAATCGAAAGTTGAGATTATTTAAAGCGAGTACGTGAAAGTTGGGATTATATATTTACAAACTTTCCTATACTTTATAAGTTTTATAAGCTAGATTAAAAATATAAATAAACAAATAAATAATGGTTCGTTTGGCATCATTGTGGTTTTCTGTTTTTTGGATTTTTGTTTATTAAAATCATATGATATATATCACATAATGAATAAAAAAAATTAGTTAAACTTATCAAAATCATAATAATTTTGAAAATTGATAACAAAAAGTAGAAATACCTTTTTCTTGTTTTCTGTTTGTGGTTTTTAGTTTTCAAAAATGCAAAAAACTGGAAACAAAAATGATACCAAACATAAGTAAATAAAATCCTATCATATGCTTTTTCAAAATTTCAATAAGCTACTTTCAAGCTTCCAAATAATGTTTTTTTTTTTCATAATGATATGGTCAAACCTCTAATAGATCCTAGCTCATAACCTTAAGAAGCAAAAACTCTTCAAAAGCTCTTTCCCAAATAAATAAGCCTTATTAAAATTAGTGAAGTAATGGAGGAAGTACATAGGCACTCATATTTTGACTATTGAATACTTTGTAATTGATCGATTTGAGATCCGCTGTAACACATACGATTAGTAGGTGGTAGGTCATAGGGACTGAACAAACTTATATAATTATGAAATTAATAAATATTTGTTAGCATGTGTATGTTACAGAAGCTATGATAATGGTGGAAATAAAATAATGTTGATGGGTAAAGTTGACAATTAAATTTGGGTGTCCAAATAATATAAACTTGATATATTTGTGAAAGATTGGGACAGGTTCAACTAGGCAAATACAAGAAGACGAAGAAATGGAAAGAATGAACAAGTTGGGGCCGGACGAGAACGTGGTTGCCAAGTTAAATCCATGCTGTGTTTTGGCAGGAAAAACAAACATGCGTGTAGATAATGTTTCTTAAAATCCATAATATTTCGCCAGTTCCTATCATTTTTTTCATCTTATTAATTGCTCTAATTTTACCATTATGTAACAAGTATGAGGTTGTGTAACTTAATTGCCATGCGTTATTCTAATTTTCGAATAAACTCGTATCCTTGAGCCACACCCAACTCCCCCTGAGTTTATGAAGATCACACTTTGTTGGTTTAAGGTATGGTTTAAAAAGTGAATTTTCTTAAACAAATACTTCGTATTAGGTATGTGTTTTAATAATCACTCTAACCCCGTACCTCGTTTTTAAAATCAATAAATCAAATGGTGGTCGTTCCCCAACTGTGGAGTTATTTACCATTTTGTCATTTGATAAACAAACTTAACTTTATTTATTAAAGCGATAAACTTTTTTTTTCCTAAGGCTATACGAGTAGTGATAGACCACTACCAGGTATGGGCTCGTTGGGCCCATACCAGGGGCAAAAATGTAATATTGCGTAAAACTTACCCATGTTGTAAAAATGTAGTCTCTCTCCGCTCAATAACCGTATACAAATTAAGAATAACAGTATACAACCCAAGATTAACAGTACACAAACTAATAATAACAGTACATAAATCAGTAATAACTGAGCATCGACAAACAGGTACCATCGTCAAATTCGACCGCACTCAACGATTTCCAGCATAGAGCTCACTGATTTTAATGGCTACCATCGTCAATTACGACAGAACTCAACGATTTTCGGCATAAAACTCACCGATTTTAATGGCTAAAGCCATAAGTTTGTGTCTCTCGTTTTTGGTTTATGTTTTTTTGGGTGATTTCCGTTGATTTTTAACGGAGGTTGTTGCAAGGTAGTAGCTGTTGGAGTGGGTTTCTTGCTGTAGGAGGTGAAGGTGTGGTGGGCGGAGGTTTGGCCGGCAATGGGAACTATCCATGGAGGTGGGTAAAGGATTTAAGGGAGGAAGAAGATGAAGAGGAAATGGAAAAAAAGTAAAAGAAAAAAAAAAAGAAAAAAAATTATATTGTGGTATTGGGTAGTATTACCCATACCTGGTAGTGGGTAATACTTACTCAAGGCTATACCCCCTTATATACCAATATTCTCTCTTTAGGTTTCCTCCAACTTGCTCTGAATACGATGTTCAATTGTTCTCCTCTCTGGATACAACCTTATCACTTATTGTGTGAAGGACAAGAATTTTATGTGCATTGCATACATAAAATTTCACCTAAATATGGAAAAAAAAAAAAAAAAAAAAAACTCAATTGTCGTGTGCAAAATTTATTGTGTACGACTTTTTGTGCCTATGTGCATATTTTTGGCTCAAGCTGTGTGTGGAGTGTATTGACTAGAAACTTTTTTGAAGAGATGATGAGAGAATTCAGATTTCCTGAGGATGAAGCCTATGTTACTACTACTTTCTGCCTATAAAAACTTTTATATACATCCGATTTACACTAATATTAGCGTACATCGAGCAGTATAAGGGTAACTTTTAGCTAATTTTAGGGTAACTTTTTGCCTTTCTTTGGGTAACTTTAAACATAATACAATTTTTATATAAATAGATAACAAGAAAAATTTTATAGAGGTAATTTAATTACATTCAATTACTAATAATTGATTTTTAGTCGATTAAAATGTGATTTTTTACTAATAAAGCGTAGATAATTTTTATTTGAATAGGGTTACTTTTACGCATATTGAGGTAACTTTTATTCATTTCAGGGGTAACTTTTAATCATTTTGTGCTATCTTTATAATGGATGTACAATAATTATTGTACACCCGATTTTTTTTAAATTTTGTGTTCTGCCTATGGGTGTCCTCGCATAGGACGTGGGCATCCAATCTCACACACGCTCTTTGTTCTTCGAATGGAGTACATGGTTAGAAGACTCGATTTAATCAATCAAAAATCTATATACATTCCTCATGATTTGTCTATTTAGTTTGAGTGATTTTGTAACAGGTTATTACTGCAGCAAGGGGTTCAGCTAGCTTATGATATAAATGGTTCGAAAGAAAACTAAGGACAGCTTGTCACACATGGGGACTCAGCTAGTTTATGGGGGAGGAAAGCTGCTGATGAGCAAAAGCCAAGCAATGCGACTGGATTCCAAATTGGTTTCCTGCCATTCAGATACCTTGGTTTTCATAATTCATATGAACAATAGAAAATTGAACTTTGATTTCTTAAGATAAAAATAGGACATGGATAAAGGTTTGTAAATAGAATTGACTTTAACTGATAACCTTTGTCTTAATGAGCTTAAAAATTATTGAGCACAAATGTTCCTTATGCCAAATAGTTATACAGAAAGTGTAAGAGATTCATGAGACTAGATACTTAAATACTTGGTTGAAGTGTTTAACTACTGATAAATGAACTAGAGCTGGAAAAATCAATTGAGATAGGGTTTGCTACTCGATGTCAGTAACTTGAGACGTCTAAGACAATTTTGCATTGTAAAAGCTGATCTAGTACATTGCCATCAAGTAAGACACAATGTTGTGGTATCACATATGCAAGGTAAAGCACAGTAATATGCAGGTTTGAGATTTTACAAAGCCTAACTCCATAACATTTTACAGAAAAAATGAAGCAATGACGCTGCAAGTCAGTAAGAATACCATGGGAGATTGCAGACTAGAGAACGATTGGCTTATAAGAGAATGAGCTCACAGTTAATAAGGGGAATGTTCTGAAACAGAGCACCGCTTTTTCTTTGGGTGCATATATAGCAAGAGATGCCTGAAGCAAGTCATGGGTTGGTCGCAAGCATACAAGACAAACAGGAATGTCTTGTGGTCAATCGCTAGAGTTGCAGGAGATTCATAGTTGCCCACTTCAGCAGAAGAGTCTGTTTCAATACGATTGCAGCAGGTTGGGAGAACTAGGATATGGTACAAAGAAACTGGGACAGAGGATTCAAGATATGTACAGAAAGAAGTCAACTTCCTCTTACACTGATGTAACTGAGTAACATTATTCAGTACTAACCATAAATACCAAATCAATTACAACATGAAATTTTGATTGATGTCACCATGTTTTACCAGTACGGAGTAGATAAGAGAGATTTTTAAACAATGACAACACAAATACTGCGTAAAAGGAAATTTGCTAACATAGTCGATTAGTGAAGGAAACACTGCCTCTATATTGGACAATATGTCTGTCACAAACATATTCGTCACAACATATTTAACCCCCAATACAAAAACCACGGTATGGTACAAAGATATAAGAATTACATCATATTAATATAATATTGCAGCAAAATCTACGTCAGAAACATTGTTCATCACTCAAATTCATAAATAACACATAAATTCTAATTTAGAAGGTCTATGCAATTATGAATCATCCTAAGTATCAGCAAGACAAGATCACCTACCAACCAAAAAGCCATTGGATCGATCATCAAGCCTCTTTTTCATACAGCACCATATCTGACATCATATGATTCCATCACCAATCTTCTAGTCCCCTGAACTTCAGAATCCATGTACTGGAGATTTCAAAGGTGTTTAAGATGTACAAGAACTCAGGGTTTCAGCCGTTGAAGCTCCTCATCCTTGGAATTTAACTGTACCAATTGAACTTTTAGCTCCACATTTGGAAATGAGTCCAGTTTTCATGAATTCATCTGCACAGAATGCCAAAAGAAATTCATTACGCTAGCAGCAAGATAGCAAACCAACATACGTTGAACAAACACCAGAAACTCACATGGACTAACATCTCACTATACCATTGACTAAAACATATGAAGAGTTCCAGGTATCTACACCATTTAACAAAAATGTGTTCCAGATATCGTTTCACATTAATGATCCAGTCATTCAGTGTCAATATTTAAGCACATGCAAGAGTTCCTGCTTTCAGCACCTGACATACCCAGCACAACTATGCTATGCTGTGCATCAAGTACACAAGTACACATACTGGAGTTGTGGACTATGCGTGCTGAATAAGCAGCTCTGGAATTTATAGGGAAACTTACTTAAATTTGACAATTCATAACCATCTACTTAAATACTGCCCCCGTTCATTCCTACAATTGAAGAAATATTTTACCGATAATAAATCCAAAGTATTTCTTCTATTAAAAAGTGCACATTAAAATGCTACATCGAACTTACATTATAGTCTATCATTATTTCTTTGTTTTGTCATTGATCTTTATCCAAACCATTTTCATAATCCCTCTGCAGTTGTGCTTTGATACAACAATTAACAATAATGATGCAGAAGCATAAAAAAGGATTAGAAGGGTGACTATGATTACATGGGAAAATGGAATGTTCATAAGGAAACACAGCTTCTGGCATGTAAGAGAGTTATTTCGAATTTAAGACATTCACATACAGACTTCACATTGGGGCATTAAACATAGAGCCCAATATATTAGTCCTTTGGCCAGGTACATATTCATTTGAAGCTTCATCTTTGTAGCAGGAGCTCGATTTGTAGGAGATTGAAAACTCTTTATCATTTTCTATTATGTGTAATAAAAGAGAAGTTTCATTCTATACATCAAGGACAACAGAAAGAAGACAAGACGATCAATGTTGAGACCCTTTACTGAAGGGGGATAAAAGTGTAGGTTAAAGTTCATTAACTTGTCTGTTCACCTGATCCATTAATAAAGAAGCTACAGCTTGTTGAGCCCAAATCTTCATATCACAAATAGAGGGTAAGGGAGATCTTGTCCTTAGAAGAGGCAGCAAACAGAAAAAAATGTTGTTAGATAAATGAAGCAATATGTCACAAGGGATCTATCAATGCCCAAGCCCTTTGTTACCAAACTCTTCATTTCACTTTTTACCTCAAGTACAACACTCTGACATGGGTATGACATCTGGAAACTTCATTTTGGGCCATAATAAAGGAGTTTTTCACAAAATAGACTAGTCAAACACTAGGACAAGTACCAATGTCGGACACAAGTATCCAAGGAACAAAGTCCAAGAAAACATCATTATAAAGACCACGAAAGTACTACCTCCGTTACATATTATTTGCAACAAAAACATCGACACGGACTCCTAGACAAAATTTGTATGTGAGTGGTAAATGGAGAGAGAAATATAAAAAAAAAAGCATGTGATGAGGAGAGAGATAGAGAGAAATGACAACCAATAAAAGGAAAGAAAACATTTGTTGCAAATAAAGTATAGCATCTGTTTTTAGTAAATGTTGCACATAATATGAAACGCAGGTAGTATAATGTTTGATCAGACAATGTATAGATTAAACTGTAATGTATAAAGCAAAATGAGCTGGATTTATTGGAAGACTTCAACCGTAATCGTTAAATCTAGAAATTTACTAAAGATAAATAAATGCCTGAATTTCTAGAATTCTTGATTTCAGTGATCCAAATTATACAACAAAAAACATGGAGAGCAGATGGATTGCAGCTTGTAATTTAGTTCAAACAAATGAAAATGAGATAGGGATTAAATGAGCTGGTTAGACAGAAATGATAAGAATAGCCACAAGAGTTAAATCCCCAACACATTTTTCTTTCCCTGTCAAACTTAATTGAAGAATTGTGTTTTATGCCAGATAGGGTCAACCAGTAATATAACCCTGTTTGGACTAATGGGAATATCATATATAGATAAAACTAAACAGGCAGACAAACCGGGAGAGAAATAAGACCCATCTATGTAAGCAATGCAATGCATGCGAATGGAGAACTGTAAATTGTCAGAAACTAAGAAATCAAAATACTGTTACTTTAAAACAGAAATTTATATATTCTTGTTGAGTTATTTATGATTCAATCTGTTAGCTATACATGCATGTGTGACAGTGTATTAAGATTTTGTACACCCCAAAGTTATTTTGCAGAATAATTGTCTTAATTATGACTGTATAGCTACGCCATACAAGGCTAAGAAACCATGTCTTTATGCAATATGAGTCATTAGGTACCCCATACATCCATCTTTCATTATCATAGGTCAACTTCTTTTGTAAGGAAACTCTCTCTTAACATGTTCCTCTTTGATTATTCACTTGTCTATTTCGTATTTTAACTAGAATTTTCTTTAAATTCCATCTCTTATGATCACCTCCAACAAAATTCATTTTTTTCAGTCAATAACATCCTATTCTGAATCCACATTTTGACATTGCCAATAACTGAAATTGGAACTTTCATATTTACAATTTGAGATGAGCTTAAAAACCCTCCCTGATCTTCCCATCAGCCAACAATTATTTAACAGAATACTCAAGTATACAACAAAACATCCTCCATTATATGGCCAATACAACAAAGTTTTTCAAGATTTTTTAATTTCTTTTTGTAGCAAACACTAGAGGTTTCCGGGCAGACATGCACATGAACATTACGTCATTTGAATCCCTTCCCACGTAAGTTTGAATCTCTTACCACATGTTTTTGACGCCAATATACAACATAAAAAAATAAAAAAATAACAAAAAGCACCAGCTTCCACTCTGATCTGTTAAGGCATTTTATACACTTTGGCCAACATTTTGCAACAATTCAAGTTTAAGGTCACTAAATTAAAATTACTTAGAAAGACTCGGTGGTTGTCGTGGCATACAGCAAGACAATACCACAATGAGACACATGGAGTACCTATTTCTCGGTTCCCCACTTCCCCTTCCAAGGATGGATTCCATAATACTTTCCCTGTATACATAGTCCTATATTGACGCATAGTCGCATATAAGCTTAGTTTCCAACCAAACAGCAAGTGTCATCCCATATCCTACAAGCTAGCATTATAGCTCATGAAATTAGAGGTTACAGTGAATATTGGGGGGCATGGAGTCCATGGAGGGCACATTTGCAGCGTATGTCAGAAAAAATACTCCTACTAAACTTTAATAGGTAAAGTTTCACCATGATCACTAAAATCCCTTTTGTAAAAGTTTCCCCTTCTCATCAGTAAGGGCATGTTTTCTAAATGCAAGCAATGTCAGTTTCTACTCTAAGAAATGTTTCAACTCCTACTAGACACCCTAAAATAATATACCTGACAATTATTTCCTACAAAAGGAGTACTATTTTAGGCCTAAGGAATTGTTGCAAACATCTCGATTTTTTATTCGACTACTAATCTACCATCACTAAATACAAGAAATTATTAACCAAAGTACAAACGTCCATTATAGCAACTTCAATGAGTGTTTATCAACTCATGTGTTTTCAGCTATTAATACATAAGTTCATAATGTACAGAAATCATCAAACAGTCATTTCAATATCAATATATCTACTCTAATAAGCATTCATTATCACCTTGTCAATTTCATGTTAAGTAAAATTTCCCAAATTTTCACTTGTAATCAAATACGTGATATGAGTTAAAGCTTCATAACGAAAAGGCATCACGACAAATACAATATGTTTGAGTTTGACTGAAGAGGATATAATTTTATTCAAACAGAACAACAATTCAACAGCAAAATTGAACCAATAAAGGTAGTCAATTCATTTATTCATGCAAGTCGCAAACCCATTAGTAGAAAATATTTGACATATATAGTAACCTCAATCACTCAATATCACTATAAAAAACAAAAAAAAATAAAATCAACATATACAACCCAACTTCAAATGTTAAAAAAAAAATATTTGAGAAAACAAAAGTATATATCAACAACTAAACACAATATGTATTTTTTATCAAAAAAAAAAAAACACAATATGTATTAATATAAAAGAGGATTACCATCCATTTCAACTAGGGCGACTCCCACCGGATCTCGGATGATTCGAAACAACCGAAACCGATTCGACAGCAGGAGGAACGGGTGCATCTCCATATCCAGGTCCAGGAACTCTCATCCTTCTCTCATACCCACTCCCAGACTTAGGCCGTCCATCCTCAACATAGCGATTAGGCGATCCATGATAATTCCCATGAGCCGAGCCGGGGCGATAATTCCCCTGCCTCGGCTTTTCAGGAGAAGGCGGTACCTCTCTCGGCACGAACCCCGGCCTCAGGTGAGGCGGAACAAACTTATTACTCTTAGGACTAGGAAGAGACGGAACATCGACCTTGCTAATCTCCTTCTCCTGAAAGGTTAGGCTTCCGCCAGTCTTCCCTTGAGGACGAAGCGAGATGGAATCCGAATCGGAATTGGAATCAGATGGTTTCGAATTCGAAGACGGGTTGTTAGGAAGATTTATAGAGTCAGGTTGAGGAAATTGCGGCGGTGGTGGTTGAGGTTGAGGTTTAGGAGAAGAGCGAGAGAGAACGAGCATGCCGCCATGGCCGAGGCGGGAGGAGGCGGAGAGGGAGTAAGATTTGTGGGGGTGAGCGGTAGAAGAAGAGGGTAATCGAGAGTTGGAGTTAGTTGAAGAGGTGTTGTTGGGGTTGATGATCTTCTTCTCGTAGATGTCGTTGAAGTTCAAAGAGGTGTATTTGTTCGTTCTTGCCATCCACCACTACCACCTTCAAGCTTGGGGAGTTTTTGGTTTTTTTTTTTTTTGACAATGGTGGGAAGATCTGAGAATGAATGAGAACAAGTGAAAAAGAAAATTTTGTGTGTTAAAGAAAACTTTAAAGCGATGATGATTGATTGAAGTGATGTTTCATGTTTTTATTTTTGTTTCTAATTCTAATTCTTGTTCAGGATTTTTTTTTTTTAAATCCTCCAAAATGTTCCTTGCGTTAAAACTAATCACCTTTTTTTTAAAAATAAATTAAAAAATACTATCCCTTTTATACAAAACTAGTACTCTAGGTTTTATCACCTCTACCTCTATTTAGGCCAGTTTTCCGATCACTTCTAGTAGGCGATAGCCCTGCCACCTCAGGCAACCCCTCCCTTCCACGTCTCTATTTCGGGCATCCCCTCCTTTTCGTTCTTGTTTTTGCCCCCTCCTTTTCCCCTCAACGATTTCAATCCCGCTCCTTGGCTTAGTATAGTTTCAGGGTTAGGGTTATAAGTGAGGTTTGGATTTTTGGGTTAATAGGAGATTTCAGGTTGTGGAGATTGGGATAGGGCTTCGGTTTCAGGTAAGGGGTGGAATTTCAAACGAGGGATGAGTTACGGGTTTCAAGCAAGGGGTGGGGATAGCGATTCATGCTTCTTCGAGGGATGATGCGAGTTTCAGGTGGTGGTCGAGGTGGAGGGTTAAGTTTGGTTTGTCGTCAGTTGAGGGAAGAGTGGGCGTTGGCAGGGAGGCTATGCTAGACATTGACATTGAATAGGGAGTGGGAGAGGACAACGCTGGCTGATTTTGGTGGTTCGACATGAGGTTAATTTGGGTGGGGTTGACTGTCCCAGTGGCAAGAGAACGAGGATGGGGTGGGTGCCTTTTTTAAAAAAAATGATTTAATTTTTTTCGTTATTTTAGAGCAATAAGGTGGTGACATATGGGCCATCAGTCGGAAAACAGGTCGGAATATAGGAGGGTGGTGAAACCTACTAGTTTTGTAAAATAGGGGTGGTATTTTTTAATTTAAAAAAAAAAAAAAAAAGGTTGGTCAGTTCAACACATGGTAGATTTTGGAGTGGTTATTTACAAAATATCCTCTTTTTTATGGAGATGGTGACAAATCTATGGCATAATTAAACTCAAAGGGATAATATGATATTGCCATGTGTCACCGCTATCTCAAGATGGTTTGGCGCCACATGAATGATACGTGTCATCCTATGTGTCATTACTCTTTGCCCACACATATGGTATCAATGTACAATTTCTTATAAAAAACTCTTCATAGGCAGAACCTCCTATAGTAATTATTTTAGTCTATTTGAAAAACTCTTCATAAGTGTAACATCTCTATTTAATTTTCGTCTTTAATAATATCATGTAACTCTTTAGTAAATTACACGATAATCTACCATCTAATTTGTAAGAAATTACTTTTTATTTTTAAGTGTACCCTACATGATAATCACTCATGATGTTTTATTAAAAAAAAATTGAGTCAAATTTAATTAGGAAAAATACACTTTAATAATCCCAACTTTGCTCAATTTACTTTAAATAATCCCAACTTTCGATTATTCTACAATGATCCCAACTTTCACCTGCATTTTTTTTCTTCAATCCCAAACCGGTCAACAAAAGTCAATGACCTTATATTCTAGGTCACTTGACACGTGTCAAGTTGTAAGTGGTCCAAAAAAAAAGATTAAAAATTAAAGAAAAAATCAATATAAAAAAATAGCCACCACCAGCCTACAACCATCGGCGATGGCCAATTCCATCCATAGCCAACTCCGAACCACCACCTCCCTTACCCTGACCACCAAAAACCGCCCTTACACCGCGAAACCGACCCCCTCTACCTCTCCCCACCCCCTAAACCAGCCATAGCCAAAATTCTTGCATTGAAACCGCCGCCCACAAAACCCAAAACCACCATAATCAAAACCCACATCCCTAAAATTGTCCCTATCCCCTCCCCTAAACCCCGAAACCACTTTTTACACCAACCCCGACCATCGAAATCACCTCCCCCATCCCCGAAATACAAAAAATGCAACCCTTTCTCTCTCCTATAATCGCCGAAAATCTCAATCAAAAGGAGTGACGATAGGGTTTCCGGTGAGGGGATGGTTTCCGGTAGGTCAAAAAAGTGGGTTTGGGTTTCATTGGTGGTCGGGGTTCGTGGGAGATCGGAGTTCGTGTTGGGGTTTCGTGGGTTGGTCGGGATTTCGGGGTTGGTGGGTTTTGTGAATGAGATCGGCATTTCGGGGGTGGTCGGGATTCGTGGGTGGTGGGAGTTCATGGTGGCTGGGTTTCGTAGGCGGTGGCTTGGATGTGGGTCTTGCCGGTTGGGGAAGTGCGGCCACCAGCGTTGGATGGCTGGTGGTATTTGGTTTTTTTTTTAGTTTTATTAATTTAAATTTATTTATTTATTTTTTGAACCAATTAGAAAGCGACACATGACATATAGTTTTTTAAAAAAATTATTAACCTTTTCTTCAGGTAACCGGTAAACCGGATTGAAGAAAGAAAACACATATGAAAATTGGGATCATTGCAGAATAATCAAAAGTTGGGATTATTTAAAATAAATTGAACAAAGTTGGGATTATTTAAGTGTATTTTTCCATTTAATTATTCATTAAATACTTATTACTATATTTTCATTCACTTATAAATATTGTTGAACATTAACCTTCTAAATTTAATATTGATCAAAATTTACAAATTTATAATGATCCGGGGCATTGCCCGAACCAATAGCTAGTTGGACTTTTTATTTTCCGTACTACTTTCTTTGACCTATAATTAGTACTCCCTCCGTCCCCAAAAGAACGACCTTTTTGGGTTGATTTTGCGGGTATTAAGAAAGTTGAATTAAAAGAAGTAAAAATATATTGGAAAAATAAATTTACATGGGGTTTGTAAAAAAGTAGAGAGAGATAGTAATAAAAGTACATGGAAAAACAAAATTTTATATGGGGAAGCTAATTTTGCATGTATATTGTTGCAAATTGGAGGAGTATTTTAATGCAAATAGGTCGATCATTCTAGGACTAAAATTAGGCTATAAGGGTCGAACTTTTGGGGACGGAGGGAGTAATAGTTAACACCTACACCCTAGAGTAGGTAGAGCAACCTACACCTCCATCAAATTTGATACGCTACAGTGCAACATTACTGCTACACTTAGCCTCATTCCCTCACTATTCAATTACCCCCACTAATTACAATAGCTGCAAATTTTCCTCCCCCTACTCCCACATATGTATATACATTAAAATAATAATAGTAATTAAAAAAACATCATTCAAATATTTTTAATTCATTTTCTTTCTCTTTAACCTTCTTCTTCATTATATTCCCAACATTTTCTCTCTCATCAAAACTTTCATTCTTAAATATTTTCATTCTAATACAATTACGAAATTGCTACAAAATACTCCAATCAGCATTTGCAAGGAAATTCTTCAATCGCAACAACAATCTCCGATACAGTAAGTATTTTGTTCATTTTTGGAACGAAAAAACAAATGTGCAAACGAACCCATAATTTTTCTATTTTTATTTGTGTAGGCGTCGGTGAAGTGCGTCTACGTTAAGCATGTGTGAATATGCTTGGCACTCATAGGAAGTGGGAATTGACATACGATTAGGGACAAGGAAAGTAGGGAGCCGCCAACAAGTTTATAAGGAACTTGTAAACCGTTCACGGATCATAAAAGGCAACCACAAATAAGGGGACAATAATTGACCCGTGAAGGTTACGCCCCATTCATAATCCATGAGGTTACTAACTCCATATGGTTCGGAACCACAAAAGGAGGATCGGGGATGATGGTACGAAGTGAGTCATGGAGTCACATTCGCCCGTATTTGCCTCTACTCGATTCTTATAGTGAAAAGTAATTCTTGCGATCTCAAAGGTAATACAAAAAAAGATTCAATTCGCTCAAAAATATTATTATTCTAAATTGGTTGAATATTAATGCAACACATAATTCTAAAATATTGTGATCACTTGATTTAATAAAAAGATTAAAAAAGAACCTAAATCGGTCGTCCAAATTATCTTATTAGGCGTGATTTTCGATTTACATTTCGAGGTTGTATGCATTTGATTCTACGGAATCTGGTGATCCTTGGTATGATGCCGAACGATCTTTGTTTGTCGATTGGGAATTAAATGTTTACTTGCCTCCTATGCTTTTATTCTCCTTCCATTAAAAAAAATATTTTATTGTTTTAAGACAAACCATTAAAAATTTAGTTGTTTCATCTTCATTTTAAGTATAAAAGTTAACTTGTGTGATTGAATGTCTTTCTTACTAAGTGTTAAAAGTTTGCATGCTTCGGGATTTCCATCGGTTGACTTTATGATAGGTCCATGCTAAGGTAGCCGGTTTGGAACTGAAGGACTTATTTCTTCGTCGTGTGTAATTACTAGATATATAAATGGATCAAATTATGGAGATAATTAAGTTCGTACATTTGGGTTATTGTTTTATCATAGCTAGAGGTACTAACGATCTTTGGGATAGTAAAATAGCCCAAAGCCCAATTGAACGGATCCTATAAGGTCACACAAAGGGTCTAGATCGGGCACGAGAAGACAAGGCCCATGATGGGCCTCATCCTCTAGTATGGCCGGCCATATGGAGTGGATTGAAGGGTTTTGGGCTTCCTAACCCTAGTCTAATTATAATGAGATTATAAATAGACTAGGTGCCTAGGGTTTGCAGTAAGTGAGTAATTCAGTAATCAGTAAGATCAAAACCCAAATTAGCAAACACGAGACCAACCCCTCTCAAACTCTCCTCTCTCTCACGGCTCTCTCTCTCTCCTCCTCGGCGCCAGTGTAGTGGTTCGTGGTGGTGGTGGATCGTGGTGGTCGACTTAGTCCATTAAAGGTGGTGATCGTGATTTTCCTCAATCACTCAACCAATCTAGTATTGGTGGACGGCTCGTTCGAAGCTCGTGGACTAAGTAGAGGAGCAACGCTTGGGGCTCTATTTTCTCCCTGATTTGTCAATCAAATTGCTACGTGGAATTCACGCTTCAAAGGTATGATTATTTGTCTTGTGTGTTATGCATGTGTTCTTGGGATTAGGTACTTGATTGAATATGATTCATGATTTTTCGCTGCGTATTACCTATAAACTCCTACAGTGGTATCAGTTAGCCTCTTACATGAACGTTCTTGTGTAGGAGTTCTGTCTTCGATAAGTGCAATTACTAGATATATCAAGGATCACTATTATGGAGATAATAAGTTCGTTATTTTGGGTCGTCATCGTTTGGTGCTAGATATGACAAATGATCTTTGGGCTAGTTAAATAGTCTAAAGCCCAATAGAATGGATCCTATAAGGTCACACAATAAGGGTATTGGGTTAAACAAGTAAGAGGCCCATTAATGGGCCTCATGAGATTATGACATACCACATGGAGTGTTGGGCTAG